CCCCCCCTCCCCATTATCCTCATCCCTCTGCTTCCACTCCCTCCTTGGATCCTCACACTCATTCTACAATAATGGTTTTATACAAACAGTATTTGTCCTTGTGGGACTGTGTTAGTTCACTCAGCATAATGCTGTTCAGTCCCTCCCAAGTTAGGTAATAATTTACAAAATCATGAATACACCCTGAGAAAATGAGAACTGAGGCACAATTGGAGACTTGTATACCAGTGTTCATAGCAGTGTTATTCAGCGTCGCAAGAACAGGGAAACAGCCCAGATGACCAACTGCAATTGACTGGATAGAGAAATTATGGTACATTCACACAATGGAATACTACGTAGCATGCAGGTGTTGACGTTTTAAAGGGCATATTTTTCTAGGACTTGATTGAGTCACTGTCTTGGTTTGCTAGTACTGCTGTAATGAAAATACCAGCAGTGAGTGTTTCCAGATTATTTTCTTACAGTTTAAGAGACCCAAAGTCTGAATTTAAGGCATTGGCTTTAGGGAAATACTTTTTTTTGTCTTTCAGTTTCTAATAGCTGCTGTCAATCTTTTGCATCCCTGGTCTTGTAGCTACATCTGCCTTGTGATTCTGGTTTTTTTGTAAGATATCATTCAGAAGGGATTAGCTTTTGGACCCACCCTTCTCTCATATGAACAGAAAGAAAACTTTCGTTTTCCAGCGGGGTTTTGTTTAGAGGAATAAGGGTTTAGAACTTCAATATAACTTTCTAGGGGGCACAGTTCAATCCATAGCACAGTGCAATTTCTTTTTTATAAAAGTAAATTCTTTGTGCATTTTCTCCATATATTTTTAAACTGTTCTTCACACATGATTTGCCTCTATTTCAGGAAGTGAAAATTCAATCTATTAAATTTCATTCTATAGCAAGTACATGAAGAATGGGATTCATTTGAGCAAAAGTTCTTATCAAAGTGTTCATAATGTAGTTCTACTATACCTATAAGAAATAAAACCTTCAAGATTATATAACATAAAGGTTTTTTTAGTATGCTATTATTTTATTGTTTGCATATAATATCTCATTTACATTGTTTCATTCATATATATTGTGTCTTATATAAGTTTTCATTTATATTGTGTTTCATAAAATCATTCATATACATTGTATTTTTATATAATTAATTACTATTGAACTGTACCTATTCTTGCATCATCTTTTCGAGTGCCTATTGAATCTTCTACTCTTTCACACCCATCCCTCTCCAAACTCTGCTATCCTAGTGATTTTCACCTTTCCATTTTTCATCCTTCTCCTCTCTTTCCCCATAACCCTTTAGGACATTAATACACATCTTACTAGTTACCCTTCTATTTTTACAATAATAGTCTTAAACAGTACTTGTTCTTATGAGACTGAGTTAGTTCACTAGGTACAGTTGAGTAAATGTTTTTGAGAAAAGAATAAGAAAATGATCTCCAATTTATTTTGTAGGTCTGGAATCAATGAAGTAGGGCCTGGTCAAATCTGGCCTGTCATCTGCTTTTGTATGATCTGCAAACTAAGAATGATTGTTATATTTTTGAGTGGTTAGAGTGGTGGGAAGAAGAAAAATAGGAATAATCGACTTTTAGGGATACACGCTGGTAGTTTTCTGACACATAGAAATGATATTAAGTTAAAAATTTAGTGTTAATAAAAATATA